CACACCTTGAAGAGCCTATGGGGCTAACTCGCATTTGGGAAAATGAATATACAACCCTGACAAATAGTATTAATAATGCAACACAAGGCCTTGCGAGCAGAGCACTGTGTACTAGAAACCCCCAAACTGCGTGCACCGTGTCTGAGCCAGCTCTTTACCCTGCCACGCTGATACGTGGCTGAAACCCACCCTAATCAAACGCCTTTGGGTCCTGTCTGCTGGAAGCTGGTGAAAGGGCACAGGTCTTCAGTCACATGTCCAGAGCAGGCAACAGCAAGTTTCGTCTGGAGCTTCCCCAGCTGTAGGGATTTGCTCTTCCCTTGCTCACTTGAACAACAGCTCCATGCCATCCTCCTGAATAAGAGCACGACCAAGCTGCCCCAAAATACCTGCCCAAACCTCACCTCACCACAGCAGCAGCTTCACCAGCAGCTGAAACATCTCAGCAGTGCTCTTGGTCTGCATCCCTGCTGGGAAGGGGTTACTGCCCAGCAGGGCCTCTTGCCTGACCTTAATCTTCCCAGTGGCTGCTTGTGTCCACTAGCAACCCAGGTGCAAGCGGAGCAGCACTGGAGGGCATTTCAGCTGTACCTATATGTTGATTTATATATATATATAATGATATTTTTTTCCAGTGTGCAAGAAAGGCCTCTGGAGCCACAAGCTGCTCTAGCAGCAGCTAAGGGAAGAATATGATCGAGCACAGCCTTGTTATTCCTGACTACTTAACTACTGCTCGTGATTGGTCTCTAATGAACCTCTTGCATCCATACCTCGTGATTCAATACGGGTTTTCAGGACACTCCTAACTAATGGGCAAATGGAGCCTACTCCCACTGGGTCCCCATCACACCTGGGGCCATGCAAATGACATAGTGTAAGGGTGCAACGAGGAGAGCATGTCCTGGGGGTGGGAGGGGAGATGCTTGCAGAGAGGATTTTCCATGTCTCAGGAGATAGAGGCCACACAAAATGCCTCCCTGGGCTTACAGAAAAGGGATTTGATCTTAAAAATCCCAAACACACAGGGGGAGGGTGGCTCGCTGGAGTTCCCAAGAAGGTCTCTCAACGCCCAGCTTCCCAACCAGCTTCCCCTGAGCTGTGCGGGCTGGGGTCTTGCTCACCTCCCACATGCGGTTTCTTCAGTTACCATCCATCCCTCCCGGTGCTGTGAACTCCATATGGCACCCAGGATGCGGGATAGATCTATGTGCCATGTGGGAGGCCCATGGCAGGGACAGAAAAAGCCTCAGCCTGATGCAGTCCCGAGCAGCACTAGGGAGCAGCGTGGATCAGGCAGCGTCACATTTTTATTTAACCCTTAACCCCAGTAATTTGCTCTGACGCTATAGTTCAAGCAGACACAGCCACACGCACAAATGGTCTGACACCAATTAGTCATCCATGCAAAACAAGAGATTATTTTGGCTTCTAAGTGCAAACAGTTTGCTGCGAAGCATCAAATGAGCAATTACCTTCCTACAGGCCCGTGAGCCGCTTGACTCATCCCATCGGCAACACAGGTGGCAAGTTTCATGGCTTCAGTCTCGTAGGGGTTAAATCTCCAATTTAATGGTTTTAGTTTTAGTTTAGCTTGAACTAAAATTTAGTTTATCCTCAAACTCCACTTTTCATTTATTGTAATCCAAGTGACAGACACAGAAAGGACACAGCACGAGCCTGGCACTGAAATAGGGGTGGGAGACAGACCAATAGAGGCAACCGAGGGGTGTTATTCAGGGAGTGAAGGATGTGGCGTAACAGAGATTAAGGTGGGGTGAAACCATGACAGAGGAGTAGGAGAGGTGTTTAAATGATCAGTAGGGGTCCTAAGGGGGTACTACATTTATTTACTGAGCATTTATTGCTGTGAAGAACATCAGCCACAGGGTGATGCTTGGAGGAGAAGGACCTCACAGGGTGACTGGGCTCTGCAGCTCACCCCACCACCTAGCCCATGCCAAGCTCATGTCTCTGTGCCTCAGAGGCTCTGGAGAATCAATCATATAATGGAATCATAATTATAAGCTTGGAATAGATCTCTGAGATCATCAAGTCCAACCGTTGACCTAATACCACCATGCCCACCAAACCATGTCTTGAAGTGCCACATCTACACGTTTATTTGAACACCTCCTGGAGACGGTGACTCCAGGACTTCCCTGGGCAGCCTGTTTCAATGTTTGACTACTCTTTCAGTAAAGAAATTGTTCCTAATGTCCAGTCTAAGCCTCCCCTGGTGCAACTTGAGGCCTTTTCCTCTTGTCCTGTCACTTGTTACTTGGGAGAAGAGACTGACCCCCCACCTCACCATAACCTCCTTTCAGGAGAAGTTTCTCCACAGTCAGTGAAGGTGTGATACTTGCATGCAGAGGCCCACAGCCATCCTTGCCTTGCCGAGAGCTGCTGCCATGCTGGGCACTGTTGGTGTGATAGCAACACCACCTGGCAGCACAACCACGGTTGCCCACGCTTTACCAAGCACCTCATTTTCCTGCCTCAAACCAGTATTTACTGGACCAACAGCAAACACTTACTTTGACAGGTTTCTTTTGGCAGTCCTGCACGTACGAACGACCTGTCTCACTGGGTGGACGTGCGAACTCCTGGGCTCACAAATGCAGCCACATGATGACAACCTCTCCAATGAATTAAAGTAATTACTTTTCTAATTTGCCCCTAGACTCTGCTAAATCTTCTGGGGCCTTGAGGAAGGCATGAAGTTTTTTTCACATCTTCTGCTTATGTAGGCAGACATTTTAATTTATAAAATGAATAATTCTGTATTTAATCAGTACAAAGGAAAATTCCACTCAGGGACGGGGTTGTCTCATGATGCTGTAAAGGATTAACCACACTAAACAACTCCCTGGTGTGGGGGGATGTAGCCGTGTGGGACAGCCCTCAGGCCTCCGAGCATCAGTGGTTTTGGTGATCCTGAAGGTCTCCCTTCCGAGAAGGGCTGAGAATATAAAGGGTCCATCAAGGGGAAGATGCAAAGGCAACTGTCTCTGAGCCCCCAGAAACCACTAACATCAAGCTCAGAAAACTAGATAGGGCTTTGCAAATGCAAGATCATCGCCGTGAACTCCGGTGCTTTCTTGGAGCCTAATTCACACCAAACACAGAGATTCCAGCAGAAAACTGATGGTTTATCTGGCTGGGGTGAACAGATGAGGACCAGCAAGATTTACTGCTGGATGGTGGGACTGGCTTGTACTTTAATGCTTGAACCTTCCCGGCAGCGAACCTGTCACATAGCACTTACAAACTGGGGTTTAAAATGAGAAAACAGACGCTTGAGGGTAATACAAAAACTGAGGGTAAATACAACTGTGTCTACAAAAAGATGCCCTGGTTTTAAAACTTAGCAAATTATGAGTCAGCTAGACTAGATATATGTTACTTACTTATCTGAAGAGACTGAAGAGGAAAAATCCTGTTCAAGAGTTGTCTGGATATATGTGCTTCAGTGAGGTGCCATGGGATGGGCACCAGAGTTGATGCAAACAGTGATGCTGCACCAGGACTTGGACCCTACTTTGGAGTAGTTTATAAATAATAATAAAGAAAAAATAAAATTAAAAAGAAAGGATAACAAAGAGGTACAACATTCATTACACGGTATGCTACAAATGAGGTTAAAAGGGCGTATATTCTGTATGTTTCAATTACAGTAAGACAAAATGAGCTCAAATATACCAAGAATCCCTGGAGGGTTTTGTTTTACAGAAAGGAAATTTTCTGAAAGGTTTTAAATAACAAGAACAGAAATAAAGTTTGGACAAAGCTCTTTCTCCTTCGAGGAGACAAGCTCATGGCTTGCACAGGAGCGCACAAGGGAGCACAGCCTTTTCATTCCCTGCCCTCTGTTTCCAAGCAAAGTGATGCTCTCACCCTGGCAGCTGCCTAAGACCAAAATGCCAAAGCATTATATAAATTTTTAAACCTGAAAACCTCAAAATAAGGCTCATACACACAAAAAAGCAGCTAAAAATACCATTTTCTTGCTAAAATGAAATATAAGCCAACTACTTTGCTACAGTGGACCAGTGCTATTAATTTCAGCTACATCACTTTACACCAGCTTGGGATCTTGCCTTTCACTGGAATAATTTGCTCTTCTGGCCATAATTTCTCCCGAAATCCTGCATCTAATATTTCCTATGGGAAGGTTTTTAGGTAGTTTTCCACTCGAAATTCTCCCAGCCAGTCTTCAAACCTCCAGTCTACTGGATGGCAGAGGAAACGTGGGTGCCTGAGCCACACCAACAGCCCGGACACCCCAGGGCTGCAATGCCTCCAGTTGGGCATGGGACACTTAAGCAAGAGCTTGCAAGTGGCCATAGAGAACCAACAACCTGCTTGTGTCTAAGCCTGATGAGGTATAGCTGAGAAAGATGGCTATTTCCCCCTAGAGCCTGGTTAAAAGTGATATCCAGCAATGAGAGATATCCATCAGTAAATATTGAATCAAGACAAAATTTATGTTTTTCTAATGATGGCTATTTCTTGGAAACTTACACAAATCTTTTATGCCTGCTGGCACTTATGCCAGTAAATCTATAATTAAATGATACAGTCAAATGCACAAACTTTTGCAGCCTACCTAAACCAAAAAATACACTTTTTTTTTTTTTTTTTCCTTAGTTCTACTCTATTTTCTTTTTTCTGCTCTCAAGTCCAGCCCTGGATTTATCCCCCAGGCAGAACTGCTGTTTGCTCAGCGGGATGAGCTGAAAGAAGAGGACTTTGGAGAGATTTTTAGTTATGCAGGGAAGAATTGAAAAAAAAAAAAAAAGAAAACACCCACAGAAAGGAAAATATCCCAATTCTCTAGGTTAAATTATTGGTTATATAACCAATCTCTCCGGTTATATTTATGCTCCTATAAATAGAGAATTGGCCTGAAAGAGTGGCCTAAAAAGTAAATGACAAACAGAGTCAGGACACGGCGACCATCGGCGCTTGGGTGGGAGTGGGCGCAGGGGCGGCGGGGCTCAGCACGGGGATGAGGACATCTGGTCGTAGTCGGGGCACTTGAGCAGAGCCGGGTAGTTACTGTTCATCTGCAGCGACGCCTCGCTGGAGATATCCGAAGGGCTGCGTCCCCGCGCCCACGCGTCCGGGTGCAAGAACTGCCCCGAGTAGTCGGAGCAGTTGCTCAGACGGGGACGGTAGAAGCCGGGGTGAGGTCGGTAGATGTCCTCGGCTGTGTATCGCTTCATGAACAGGTAAACAGACATCACCCCAGCGCTCTGCAGGGGAGAGAGACACGGCCTGATGCTCACCCTGCCAACGGTTGCTTTCTCCACCACCACCAAAACACAACAAAAATATAAATAACTTTTTTTTTTGCTCTGCTGACAATGCACAAGGGCTTCTGAGGGCAATTACTTTACCACCCTGTGCCTTGGATTCGTGTAGTATAGAACGTGGCACAACTGCATCTCCTCCTCCTCTGCACGTCATACTTGGCATCGAATAGTGATGAAATGCCCCGTCAGCACTCCAGGCTTGGGGTCTATCCCCACTGTATGTCTCCCACCATACTATATATTACCCATCTGTCCTCATAGCCTACCCTTAAACCCCGAGTCCTCTTTTTGCTCACAGCCTCAATGCCCACTCCCCCCCGCCCCGAGAACAGGATACGCTTTTTACAGAGACTTGAGAGCTGCTGGGTACCTCCGTGAGAAGGAATGAGATGGCAGAGAAGGCAAACGACCACCCATATTTGTAATTGAAGAATGTTTCCGAGTCCTTGGTCCTGTTCAGCATCTCGTCGTTAATGCTGGAGATGTAGAGGACCAGCCCCACCACCAGGGACAGACCTGGGGAAAAACCAAAGAGAAGGGCAGCAGGAAACACTTCAGGGATGGAGCTGATGAAGCAGCGCCTTCCTTTAAGACCTGACTTATGGGTGAAAGTGTAAAACTGTGGAAGTGTGCTTGAAATAACTAGGGCAAGAGGCTTTTTTTTTCCTGCTGAGCTAACCCAGGGCACTCCTCTCATTTCAGTCAAACCATTACCTGCTTAAGCAAGTCCGTGTGCACCGGGTAGGAGCTGGCTTCAAAGCTTGGCTGTCACAGCTATTTGTTTAACACTAGCACAACGCCATGAATAAAACATTCACTTGTCTCATGCAGAAACATCCTGGCTGAGCAGTTTGAAGTTTCAGATCTCTCCCGCGACTGACATGCCATGAGAGGCATCCTCTCCCCCAGCAGCTGCTCCTGCACGGGCGGTGGATGCTTTCCCCTGCATCTCCTCGCCATCGTGACAAACGAGTCTTGCGCTGGGTGATTTTCCAGCCTGCAAAGCCCAGGCAGGCTGCAGGGCTAAGCTGGGAGCTCCCATGGGTGATGACTCCAACAAGGAGCCACCACAGCGCGTTAGGAGAGCACCAGCAACTACAAAAGCAAACGTGCCCCATGCTCAAGGATTTTCAGGAGAAAATGCTATCTATCAAAACTCACCCGACAGGATGAAGAATATCCCTGAGACAAAGGCAAGGATGGTCCTGTGAGGCCGAATGTGGCCGATGTTGCTCAGAATGAAGCCGATGAACATGAAGAAGAGGCTGACCAGAGGGAAGGGGGTGGCAGAGCGGATCATCTCTGGGGGCAGAGGAGCAGAGGAAATCAAGAACAAGTCAGTCCTCCCCACACAGCATGAAAAATGGGCTTGGCTGAGTGGGAGGGCTCCAGTCCTGCTGTTCTCTGACCGTGCATCCTTCCTCACTCCTGGTTAATGTGGGTGCCCCTGCACTGCTCCCCAGCCCCTGGCAGGGTTCCCCTCTTTGCTAATGAGCTAAGTGAAGAGGTGGCTGTCTGGCTGCGGAAACATCTGATCATGTTTTCATTTATGAGGGTTTCTGGGAAGTGTTACATAGGAAAAAAACATCGGACCCTGCATTTTTCTTTAGCTTTGCTGCAAAACTGTTTGCTGAACGCTTCTATTTATTAAATCAGAAGTGGCTGCAGAATTCATCATGAGAGCTGTGACACTCCATCCTTAATTCATCCCACTATGTAATGTGTAAAATTGACTGCTACAGATTAAATACAGCTGCAAATTACAGAGAGGAGACTACAAAGCAAACACTTCTATAAACACCAGTGCTGAATAGCCAGTGATGGGAAATTGTACAGCTTAGAGCCTCTGTGAGCATCACAAGCATTAGAAAGGGATGTCCCCAAAGGCTTAGGAGCGTAGTGGGTAATCCACATATAGGAAAAAATGTAGTTGCATCCTTGCATGGTAACACTGTCAAGGAACTAGGAGCGTCTTTGACAAGGACACAGGGGATATCTTGGGGGTATCCTTAGTGACCCTTTGGTGCTTTGCAGGATGCAAAGAATAAGACCTCACTGAACCACTTACTCAGGACATTGACTGTGGATTCAGACGTCAGCTGGATGCTCATGGGCATGACGTATTCGATAGTGAAGCACCGGCCACGCGCAAACACAGACCGAGTCACACCTGCAGTATGTTTGTTTGTTCATTTTTGGTGGGGGAGAGAGTGGCTTTAAAATTAATTTCAGTGCATACATAAAAACAATCTTGCTTTTTGGTGCTGCTTCCATCTTGGGTGTGAGTGTTTGGGGATGAAGAACGGCATCTCTTTAACTACCATTGCCCTTGTGCAAAACGATTCCCTTGTACACAAAACGGTGAACCCTGAAGCCAGAGGGTTTAAGGTCACCCCACGGGCGGTATCAGAGCTCCTCATTCCCCTGACTTTTTTGAAGCAGCAGTTGAAACTTCGTGACATTTCAGATCGGTCACTTTGAGATTCCCATTCCCTTGGGTTTTATTCAACTCCATCCCTGCAGCCAAGTTGCTTCATCAAACTTGGCGCAGATGGAGGGAACAGTCCAGCTGACCTGAATCTAAATGTTGCAGGGACAAAAAGGAAAGTTTTGAGCTGCTGCCTAAGGCACCGTGGCTGCAGTGCTGGGACAGAGTGGGACGGGGGGCAGCGGGGTCTGGCACGGCAGCAGCAAACTCCCCCAAAGCCTGCATGCAAAGGCACATTTATCCATCTGATTATTAAAACTAGGTGCGGGGTGATGGCAAAACTCAGGTTGTGCCTAAATTTGGAAGCAAAGATGGGCAGAGCCTCCAGAAACCCTATTTTCCCCAACCCTTTCCTGTGATACGCTGCTGACAAGCAGCAAACACCACCTTAGCAGGGGACATTTTTGGGAGGGAGGCCATACCTGCCAGAAAGCAGACCCTCCAGAGCCCCGAGTGCAGTGACAGTTTGATTTCCGCCGTCTGGTTTTGGGGCTGGACGATGCCCTCCTCCAGGTAGAGCCAGTAGTCGGTGCTGACGGAGATGCCCAGGAGGCCGAGGCCGCAGACGGCGAACACGCTGCTGAGCAGGGTCAGCGCCTTCCTGCCACAGGCGCTCATTCCCAACAGCATGGGGGGGCCGAGGCGGCGGTGGGGATGGCTGCTGGGAGAGGGGACGCAGCCGTCAGGCACGGAGCATCTACTGCTTTTTGGGGGAATGGTTGTGTCAAAGCTTTGCCCTCCGCCCTTAGTTGCTTATATAGGTCGAGCTGAAATAAGCCATTAAAACAATCACAGCGGGCCCTGACAGATGGAGAGTTTGAATCAAATCCCACCTGACGGCCTGGCCCACGCTGGCCCAGGGCTTGTGGATGTGCCGAACTGCGGGTGCTGGAGCCAGGGTGGGAGTGGTGCAGGATGGGCTGGCCGGGAGCGGCTTCATCAGCTCCTGTTCTATTTGCTGCAGGTGAATTCCT